CCCCCCCCCCCCCCCCCCCGCCGTCCCTGTGGCCCAGGGAAGTTCTGGTTGGGGCACCCCAAATGTCATTTCTTCATTCTCTTTGTTGCCTGGTTGCCCAGGCAACGAGCTGCCCGATAACCGTTAGAGCCACCCTGGGTGGGGCGGGAAGGGAGGCAAGGTGGGGGTTGGGGGGAAGCCACAGTAAAAAAAGTCAAGTTCAAACCCCTTGCCAGCAAAATTCCTTCAACCCACGGGGAAGTCCTAGCTGGGACAGGTCTCTGGGGCTGCCCCTGTCACTGAGATAGTGCGGGACATGTTGGGGGTACCCCCCATTAGAGGGGTTCTGGCTCCCAGGCCCCCAGCACTGCCCATGCCCTATATTAAAAGCAGTTGCTTACAGGGTCCCAGCACTCACTTTTTGCCCCCTTCCTTTCCCCATGCCTCAGTTTCCCCTCTGAAGGAGCAGCCTCCAAAGCGTCTCTGGGACAGAGCTCCGGGACCCTCTGAGCAGATGTGGGGGCTCCTAGAGCACTTTGGGGGTCTCTGCCAGGGCAGCGGGGTGCCCCGGGCACTGCCAGCCCCCCCCTCTCCATGTGCCCGTCTGACCATGTGGATTCCTCGGCCGCAGGCCCCCGGGGCTGCCAGCCACACCTTCCACTTCTCCCCCGTGACTGGAGTGCCCCAGGTGCCAAGGGGGGCTTTCCGCCGCAGCCCCCTCGTCCCTCCCAGCAAGGGCCCCCAAATTCTCACCGAAAAGCATGCCTCTCATGGTCGGAGCCGCTGGCGCGGGGGGAAGCAGAGGATGGGCAGGGCGGTCGGTCTGCCCAGGCTGGCCCAGCCTTTATGAAGGGAGGGGAGACCGCCGCTGCCCAGGGCCCTCCCCGGAACTGGCGGGGCAGCTGGGAGCCAACAGGAAAGTGCAGTAAAAACACAGATCCAGAGGCATTGCGCGGGCTCTCTCTCTCTCTCTCTCTCTCTCTCTCTCTCTCTCACACACACACACACACACACACACACACACACAACCTGCTTGCAAATCCTCTGCCTGCTTTCCCACCATTGGAGTGGCAGACACACTCCCTAGCACTGACTGCGTGCATGGGCTGGGTGGATCCCAGGGGAAAGTGGGGGCGTGCGGGCAGGGGTGGGGTGGGAGCCGTGCCCAGGGCCCACCTGGCTCTTGGGAATAGCTTGGGGCTCCCGTGTTGGGCCCGGCCTTGTGCTGGTGGCCGTGCCACGCTTGAGTCCCCAGTGTCGGCGTCCGAGCCAACCGTGACCCCCATCCCTGTTTTCCGGCTGAGGAAACTGAGGCACAGAGTCCAGAGTCCAGCGGGAGCTGGGGAGGGCGGAAGAGACCTTTCACGGGTGCTAGGCAGGCACCAAGGCGAGAAATGGCACAGGCCAGCCTTTCCCTTGGCGGGAAACTAATATTTCAGGGGCTCCTGGGCAGCAAACGAGAATCACATGGGAGAGGAGTTATTTCCTTTCCTAATAAGCCACATGACTGGCTTGTCTCTTGAGGCATTTAATAATTTTTTAAAAACGCTCTTACTTATAAAGCGCTTGATCTGAGCCAAGCCTGATTCTCCTAGAATGATCTATGCATCTATTTTAACTCATCTACTCTGCAAAACACCTGCAAGGCAGGCGGGACTATGATTCCCATTTTACAGAGGGGGAGGCTGAGGCACGGGTAAAAAGTGGCTGAGCAGAGATGCCTCCAGCTCCTGCCAGAGCTCCAGAAGAAAGCCTCTGATGGGTGCTAATTTGTCTTTAACACCATGGCAGCCCTGGGGTTTAGCGGGTGCAGTATCCACCCAGAGCCCAAGTCCTTGGTTTTCCATTCCTTTATGCTGTCGTTTGTTTTTAGATTTACCGACTTCTCCTCAGGGGAACAAAAGGGTTTTGCAACTCAGATGTCAATCTAAAGTTTCTTTTTTAATGTTTTTTTGGTTTTTTTAATGCTTATTTTTGAGAGAGGGAGTGCGAGCAGGGGAGGGGCAGAGAGAGGGGCGGGGGCTGGGGAGGCCAGAGGATCCGAAGCAGGCTCTTTGCAGAGAGCAGCTAGTCTGATGTGGGGCTCGAACTGATGAACCGCGAGATCATGACCTGAGCCAATGTCAGACACACTCAACCAACTGAAGCACCCAGGCGCCCCTTAAGTTTCCTTTTTAAATGAGTGGCTTCAGGGCTGCCAAAGTGTAGAAAATGAAAGAAAACAGCAAGTACACGATAGGTCGAAAGAGGAAGATCGTTGGTCATGGGAAAAAAAAAAAAGGTCACAAATCCCAGAGATGATGGAGCGCCTCCATCCCGGGAATTAACCCCTTCCTGTGCTCTCCCTCCCCTCCCCCACCAGCCCTTCCTGTTGGATGGGCCCTGGGAAGGGTTCTGCCAGGGGACCCAAGGGGCCTGGGGAGAGAAGATGGCCTGGCTGGGGGCTGGGAGGGGAGGGGGCCAGGCCAGGCCTGGAGGGGATTTGGGGCTTTTTCCCAGGATCTGGAAACCCCGGGCTCTGCAGGTCCCACAGCCGGGTTTCTGGGGAAGCTGGGGTCTGGGGTTTCCAGCCTGGGAGAGGCGGGAGGTATTGTCCCCACACCCGACCATCAATTCGTTGGGCTTCTCCTCCCTGGTGTGTGTCTTGGGCCCGTGGAGCAGGTCTGACCTCCTTGGGACTCAGTTTTCTCATCTGGTGAATGGGATTAAAACGCCTGCCGACTGGCCTCGCAGAACAGGGCAACAGGAGGAAAGGGCTTCGAGGTGTTGGTTGCAGGGTTGGGGAGCCATGAAGAAGGACATCCTTACCACCACCGCCACCACAAGCTGGTCTGTCAGCAGTCCTGCGGCCCTGCCTTCGGACAGACCCAGAATCTCCCTGCCTCTCCTCCTCATCGGCCCACACCCTGGGCTAGGCTCATCATCTCTGGCCTCGGTGTTCTGGCTCCTGCCCACACTCAGTTCCCCCTCACAGTGGCCCGAAGGCACCTGGCAATGCCCCAGCCAGGTCACACCCCTCCTCTGCTCAAGAACCCTCCATAGCTCCCACCTCTCTGGTAACACCCCAACTCCTCCTGCAGCACTGACGTCCCTGCGCGATCTTCCCTGTCACCTCTCCTCCCTCACCTCCTTCTGCTCTTCCCTTGCTCACTCGGCTGCAGTCTTCCTTGTGCAAAACACCAGGCACAGGCTGACCTCAGGGCCTTTGCACGGGCTGTTGTCTCAGCCTGGAGTATTCCTACCCCCAGATGACCTCATGGTTCCCTCCTTCCTCCCCTCCATGTTTTGGCTCAATTTCCTGACCCCGCCCTCAAGTCCAAATGTAACCCCTACCATCCTCAGCACCCCGCCCCCTAACATCGTGGAATGTACCTACTTACCTTGTTTACTGTCTGGCCCCCACCAGACTGTCCGCTCAGGGGGGCAGGACTTTGGTCCATCTGTGTCTCTGCAGTGTTGACACAGAGCCTGCACCGTACAGGGCTCCGCACTGAGTAACCGCTGCCCCCCACTACTGTTGCTGCCCCCCCCCCCCACTGAAGAAGAACCTTCTTTGTGCTTCCTGATCTGGCCCCTGCTGGGGTGTCAAGTTGTTCCTCCCCTTCCCTCTACCCTGAAGGTCCAGCCCCGCTGACCTATTTGGCAGCCCCCGGACATTCCTGTGACTTCTGTTTCACAACAGGGAGGCAGGAACGTGGGTCCCTATTTGTCGGGTGGGAACCTGGCCCCTGGACAGTCTGGCCACTGGCATGAGATTCCTCAGCGAGGAAATGGCTGAGCCAGGATTATTCAACCAATAATAAGACTCTTTATATTGTATTGTACCTTGTTACATCTATTTTTATTATTACAGCTACAACGGTAACAAATCATGGTGGTGAAAGATAACACTTACCCAGCACCTACTGTATACCTGGCCCAGTACTAAGCACACTACAGGAATTGAACTCATGTATCTTCCCAATAGCTCTAGAAGGCAGGTGCTGTGATTTCCATTTGACAGATGGGGTCACTGAGGCACAGAGCGGCCAACCGGCTTGCACAGTCATCAGGGAACCCCCATCTCATATCAGATCCTGGGCAAACCTGATCTCTTCCCCTTTGGACCCTGTGGTCTCGGGCAGGTGATGTCTCTGGGTCCCAGTTTCCCCGTCTGTGAAAGGGCCGGAACCTGGCCAAGCGCAGGTGAGGGTCATAAAGGAGAGAGCAGATCGCAGGGGCGTGGCTGGGAGGGAATGCCCAGCGAACAACAGCTATGGCGGTTAGGCCTCCCCTTCTCTTCGCTGCGGTGCGGGTGGAGACAAGGGGACCCCAATGTCCCTGCGCTACCTGCCTACGCCCAGCAGCCACGCAAAGCCACGCCAAGGTGGGGGGTCAGATGGGGTCTCGGGTGGAGGGGGGCTAACAGGAAGCCCCCTGCCTGAGAGACAATGGCAGAGGAAGGGGCCGGGCCAGCCCCCGCGCGGATGAGCCCAGCTGCTGGCTCCGGGCGGGCGGCACAGCTATTGTGAGGCCAGACAGCTGTCCCAGAGCCAGGAAGCCAGGGAAGAAAGTGGGAGGCCACTGGCTGACCCCAACCCCCAAACCAGGGCAGGCCCGACAATGGGCCCTTTGTCTCCTCCTGCAGGCTGGACACCTGGATTCCGCAGGGCCAGGCTCCCCCCCCACCCCCACCCCCAGCGCCACATCCACCTGCCGAGGGGCCCTGGGCGCTTAGGCGGCAGCGCTGAGTTGGGCCATATTTATAGTTCCCTGGCCCTGCTGAGCAAACTTCTAAATATAGACGCCGAGCTATTTGGGGCCTCAGCCCTGGGGCGGGGTGGGAGTGGAGGGCACCACTGCACATGGGCCTCCCTGGCCTGGGTCCCCAAGACCACCGGGCCTCTCGGTCTCCTGCGGCTGAGGCCGGGTGGGTTCTTGGGGGGCAGTGTGTCCGCTTGGATGGGGGTGCACAGAGAGAAACACAGCAAGTGTCCCGGGGCCGGGGCCGCCGCACAGGGACACAAGAGACTGGGACCCCCTCAGGGCCCTTCCGCGCCCAGGAGGACGCAAGTGCTTGTGCCCCCCCCCCGTGTCCCCAGCGCCCCGTTCCCCCACCTCTTTCACCCCAAGACCCACTGGAGTAAGGAAAGTGGGTGGAGCTGTCACTTCAGTGTTCTTGGCTTCTAGGAAACAAAGGCCCCCAGGAAGTCGCATAGGCACTCATGAACCCCAAACAAACTCCAGCTAGTAAACCACTTCCCCTTCCCCACTGGCCTGACTTCACCGGTGGCCTGGATGGGGGGCGGTGAAGCCGCTGGGGGGGGGCGGAGCTATAAATAGCCGGTTTATAAGCAGCTGCTGAGCCAGCCTGGAACCCAGAGAACTTCTCAGGGGCACAGCCGCACCCCGAGGCGACCCCAACTTCAGGCCGCCCCCCGCCCCCGCAGTCACCACCATTTGGGGAAGTGAGGGGGACGCGAGAGACAAGCTGCTTAAAACCAGCAAGCCAATGATTCTTTAAAGCAGCACCTTACCACCATGGCCATTAAGCCTTTGATGGAAGCCTGGTGCTTTCTCAGCAGCCCTCTAAAGGAATTGGAGTATCACACAGCCAGTGAGCCAGAGACGAGGCGGCCAGATGGGCTGGCCCTTAGCAACACACTCCTACTCCTGTCTCTCTCTCTTCCTTCCTTCTTTTTAAAGCTTATTTATTTATTATTAAATATTTTAATGTTTATTTATTTTTGATAGACAGAGCACAAGCAGGGGAGGGGCAGAGAGAGAGGGGGACACAGAATCTGAAGACAAGCTCCAGGCTCTGAGCTGTCAGCACAGAGCCCGATGCTGGGCTCGAACCCAGGAACCGTGAGATCATGACCTGAGCCGAAATCGGACGCTTAACCAACTGAGCCACCCAGGTGCCCCTCTTCCTTTCTTTCTTAAGAGATGGGGCATCTGGGTGGCTCAGTCGGTTAAGCGTCCGACTTCGGCTCAGGTCATGATCTCTCAGTTCGTGGGTTCAAGCCCCACATCGGGCTCTGCGCTGACAGCCAGCTCAGAGCCTGGAGCCTGCTTCAGATTCTGTGTCTCTCTCTTTCTCTGACCTTCCCTTGCTCATGCTGTCTCTCTTTCTCTCTCTCTGTCAGAAATAAATAAAACATTAAAAATTTAAAAAAAAAAGAAAGAGAGAGAGAAAGGAAAGAAAGAAGGAAGGAAAGAAAGTCTAAAGTGCAAAAATCTTAGTTGGCTTGACAGGTGTCATAGGATTTTCCCCAGTTCTCTGCGGTAATTGGCAAAATCAGGATAGAGCCAAAGTGCACAGTGTGATGATTTGATTGTCGTAGCATCCTGAGGAAAACAGCAGTCCCAAAGCCCCACGTGAAAGCCACCCTCGTCGGAAGACCCACACACAGAAAATGAAACAAGATAAGGTTTCAGCCTATAAACACACGTAAGAACACGTTAGAAAAAAAAAAAAAAGCACAGGGAGTCCACACTAAGTGTGAAGCCTGCTTGGGGCTCTGTCTCTCTCCCTCTCTCTCTCTGCTCCTCCCCTGCTCTCCCTCTCTCTCAAAATAAATCAAACATTTAAAATAAATAAAAATAAAAAAGCAAATGGTGGAGGGAATAAGAAACAGACCTCAGGGTGGTGGAGGGAGGGGGCAGGGTCGTGTCCCAGCTCATGGCGGGGGTGGGGGTGCCTTATGGAATTATAAAAAATGAATACATAAAATCAATGAAAGTGGGTCCGTGGATAGACTGATGGCCACGCCAATGATCTTTCCTCGATTCCAGGAGCCTGAGGCCTTGTGAATGTTTTTTGGAAATTTAAAAATCTTTAAAAGCTTTGGGGCGCCTGGGGGGGGGGTGGCGCTCAGCCAGTTGAGTGTCTGACTTCGGCTCAGGTCATGATCTCGAGGTTCGTGAGTTCGAGCCCCGGGTCGGGCTCTGTGCTGACAGCTCAGAGCCTGGAGCCTGCTTCGGATTCTGCGTCTCCCTCTCTCTCTGCCCCTCCGCTGCTCATGCTCGGTTTCTCAAAAATAAACAGACGTTAAAAAAATTTTTTTTTAATGTTTAGAGGCTCTAGTGAGCAGCAGGTAGAGTCGGGGCAGAGAGACTGAGAGCGGTGCCGGGAAGCAGCGGCGCTGGCAGTGGGTGGGTGGGGGGCTGGCCGCTGCCAACAGGAAACCGTGCAGCCGGAGCTGGGAGCGCTGGGCCGCCGTCAGCCGCTGGCTTCTTCCCTGTTCTGCAAGGGCTTCTGGGCTGCGGGCTGACAATGCCCAGTGAGGGCGGGCTCCGCCCCCAGGGGCCCTGCAAAGGGGGGGGTGGGCAATGGGGGGCAGGGCGGGAGACCAAGAGGGTTCAGGCGGGCTGCCCACGTCAGCGTGTCCCCATGCCTCAGTTTCCCCATCCGGGCTCCCTAGTCAGAAAGAAGGGATGTGTTTGGGGAGTCCGGAGGGGGGGGCTTCGGAGGGAATAAGCCCATCCCCCACGCTCTATCAGATTGGGGTCTCCCTTCATCAAACTGGAGGGCGCGAGGGCCGTTCTTCCAAATGTTAAGCTGTTACCCCAAGACCCAGCAGTGGCTCTGAGGTACGAACCCGAGAGAAGGCAGGGACTCCAACAGATCGAGGGGAAACAGCCCAAGGGTCCGTCAACGGGGGAAGGAATCACCAAGATGGGCCCCTCCGTGTGATGGAACGTTACTCAGTCACAGAAAAGGAAGTTCTGATCGTGGCTGCCACGTGGAGCCACGTGGTGGTTGCACAACACTGTGAACGTGGTAAGCGCAGTGGGACCATTCACTCTTCAGGGGTTAACTTTACGTCATGGGAAGTCTTACCTAAGTGTAAAAAATTCCTGAGTGGGTTGTGCAGTGTCCCCACCGGCACCCCGGGTATCTTTCCTGGCACCGCCTCTCCTTTCTGGCTCCCAGCACCCCCCCCCCCGCCCTCAGTTCACCTTTCCACGACCCCAAGAGGAAGCAGGCACAGCCCTTCTCCTCTTACAGTCATGCATTCGCTCAACAAACACTGCTTGCCAGGCACTAGGGGTGCAGGCATGAACGAGCCAGTCCAAACCACTGCCCTTGGGGCTGACATCCTGTCCCAGAGAAGACCATGAACGTGATAGATAAGAATGCTGTGAAGGTCATTCAGAACGAGAAAACGTGAAGCAGGCTAATGAAGGAGGCGTGTTGGGGGCTGCCAGACTAAATAGGGCAGTTGGGGAAAGCACTTGCCGAGAAGATGAGATGTGAGGAAGGACCTGAAGGAGGTGAGGAAGGAGGGACCGTGAAGCTCTCTGGGGAAGAGTGTCCCAGGTAGGGGGACAGACTGTGCAAAGGCCCTGAGGCAGGTGCATGCCTGGTGTGGGACAGCAAGGAGGCCCGTGTTGGTGAAGCCGAGCGAGTGGGGGAGAGGGGAGGGATGATAAGGCTTGAGAGATAATGGGGTGAGACTGTGCGCAGCAAGCAACGAAGTCAGAGGTGATATTCAAAATTCTTAATACCCAGCAAGGCAAGGATGGGTTACAACAGCACCATCAACCCCAAGTGGCTTTCCTCCTGTTCCCTCGTTTCCAGTGGACTCCGGTGAGCACTTGGGGGACCCGGACCCTCCACTTGTTTCCACTGTTTGCCATCTGCCTTCTTCCTGTGCACCTGCTACAGCCACGATGTGTCCCACGCCCCTTCAACGGCACCCATTCCACAGCGGTTTCACGAGTGAGTGTCAAAGTCTGTGTTATCGCGGCTGCATCTTTCACAACTTAAATTTTTTTTTAATGTTTTATTTATTTTTTTTTTTTTTGAGAGAGAGAGGGGCAGGCAGCGTGAGCAGGGGAGAGTCAGAGAGAGAGGGAGAAACAGAATCCGAAGCAGGCTCCAGGCTCTGAGCTGTCAGCACAGAGCCCGATGCGGGGCTCAAACCCACGAACCGTGAGATCATGACCTGAGCCGAAGCTGGATGCTCAACCGACTGAGCCACCCAGGCGCCCCCTCCCCTTTTTAAAAAAAATTTTTTTAAATGTTTTATTTAAATCTTTCACAACTTTAAACGTCTCGGTAATCTCTTTCCGTTTTCATTTATAAATTTTCCTCTTTGCCATTTTCTCCCTTCTTTCTTTCTCTCCCCCCCCCCCCCCCCCCCCCCCCCCCCCCCCCCCCGCTTTCTTTTTCTCATTCAACAAAAAGGGGCAGTCCCTTCGCTCCACAGCTGAACTAGAAGGCGAGGCCATGGCTCTCAGGTTCCCGGGAGTGCAGGCCTAACCCCGAGAGCGAGCGCCCCCACAAAGTTTGCCGCTCGGGGCCTCCCTGTCCCCATCCTCATCTCAGCCCTGAGCCTTCCGCAGGCAGCAGCATTGACCAGATTTAATATCACCCACCTCCGCCCCTGCCGATGTAGTGCTTTTTTCTGCCGCTTCCCACTTCTGGAGATGGTCTTGGCTTTCCCTTTGTGGCAGGGCGTAAAGGTTACTTTCAAAAGAAATTCATTTAAGAGTTAAAAGAAAAGAAAAAGCCAGCCGATTGCAGGAACAATCCTGTCCACGGAGAGAGGAATGGATGACGTTTCTGAGCCGCCCATCAACTCCCTGGTGTAGGCAGTGGGGGGGGGGGGGGTGGCTCGCCTGGTTTCCGTGGGCAGGTGGGAAGCCACCTCGGCCAAAAGTGTCCTCTGTGGTGCTCGTGGGGGCCAGGAAGAGAGGGCCCCTTTGGACAGACGGCATCACTTTTCTTCTGAGTGGTCCAAAGAGGGACTTTTCTGAGAACATTTCAGGTCAGCCACCCCGTATCTGGGGGCAAGGGTGTGACAGCAAGTTTCCCTGGCCCCTGGTGTGGGTCTTGTGCCCAGTGACAGAGTTCATGGCACCTGCTTCTTGCCCCCACCTCCTGCCCAGCCTGAGAAGACAGCCCTGGGGACACTGCAGCCTGCTCGATTGCCCACGAGCTCGATTGCCTGGCTTTGGCAAGGAGACTGATACCCACATCGTGCGGTTTCTTTGAAGCAGAGTCGCTAAAAATTCCCAAATGACCAACAAGCGCATCAAAAGATGGTCAACGTCATAAGTCATCAGGGAAATGTACATCAAAACCACAGCGAGATACCACCTGTGGTATCTCAAATGGCTACTACTTTTAAAAAATGTTTTCTGATTATTTTTGAGAGAAAGAGAGAGAGACAGAGTGTGAACAGGGGAGGGGCAGACACACACACACACACACACACACACACACACACACACACAGAATCCAATGCAGGCTCCAGGCTTGGAGCTGGGGCTCAAACTCAAGAACTACGAGATCGTGATCTGAGCCAAAGTCGATGCTCTACCGACTGAGCCACCCAGGAGCCCTCTTTTTTTTTTTTTTTAATTTATTTTTTTAATTTTAGAGAGAAGGGAGAGGCAGAGGGAGAGGGGGAGAGAATCTTAAGCAGGCTCTGCACTGAGCACTGGGGCTAGATCCCAGAACTGTGAGATCACGACCTGAACCGAAATCAAGAGTTGGACGCTTCCTGACTGAGCCACCCAGGTGCCCCTCAAATGGCTACTATTAGAACATAATAATAATAAGCATTGGCCAAGACGTGGAGACCCTGGAGCCCTCGTAGACTGTTACTGGGAGTGTAAAATGGTGCAGCCGAAAAAGTTACACATAGACCCAGCAAATCCTTCTTCTGGGTATATCTACCCAAAAGACTCGAAAGGAAGGTCTCCAAGAGATATTTGTACACCCGTGTTGGTAGCAGCCTTATTTTCACAATAGCCGAAAAGGAGAAGCAACTGAATGGACCAATGGATAGATTACAATGGAATAGTATTCAGTGTTAAAAAGCAAGGAAATTCTGACACACGCTGACACATGGATGAACCTTGAGGACTTCATGCTGAAGACAAAAAGCCAGTCACAGAAAGACAAATACTGTCTGATTCCACGTCTATGAGGTCATGGAAGTAGTGAAGAAACAAAGTAGAATGGTGGCTGCCAGGGGTGGGGGGGTAGGGATGGGGGGTGCAGGGAGAGGGGAGAATGGGGACTTGTTCAGCGGGTAGTGAGTTTCAGTTTTGCAAGATGAAAAAAGGATGAAAACCTTTCTCAAGATGGAAAGGTTGGTTTCACAACAGTGCGGACGGCTTTGTGCGGATGGCACACGTGTGAACGGTTAAGGTGATATTTTGTCGTTTGTGTTTTTGACCGCTTAAAATTTTTGAAAAAAAAAAAAAGGAAGAATGTTCTGATGCAGGCTACAGCCTAGATGAACATTGAGGACAATATGCCGACTGAAATAAGCCAGTCACAAAACCCAGATATTCTGTGGTTCTATCCGTACGAGGTCCCTAGAGCAGTCAACTTCAAGGAGACGAAAGGAAGAACGGCTGGGGAGTCAGTGTGTGATGGGGACAGAGTTTCGGTTTGGGAAGATGAACAAGTTCTGGAGACGGATGGTGGGCTGGATGACAGTGTGAACGTCCTTAATGCCATGGAGTTGGACACTTAAAAATAGTCGGGGTGGTAAAAAAAAAAAAAAAAAAAAAGGTTGGGGAGGTCAGTCTTAGGTCATGGGTATTTCACAACATTTAAAAAATAAAATCTGGGGGGCACCTGGGTGGGTCGGTGGGTCGCTTAAGTATCCAGCTCTTGATATTGGCTCACGTCATGATCTCACTATGGGTTCGAGCCGCATGTCAGGCTCTGCACTGGCAGACCAGTGCCACCAACTCTAGTTTGCCCCTCCCCAACTCGCACACGCGCTCTCTCTCTCTCTCTCTCTCAAGATAAAGAAATCAACTTAAATATAAATCAATAAAGTCCAGGGAGAGAAGGTAAGACAGGGCTGCGGCTGGACCCACCAACGCAATGGGCCTGCCAGGGGTCAGGAATCTGGGACAGGCCCTCCAGAGAGTCAATACCAATTATACTTTGAAGCCTCCTATGTTTCTGCCCCTCCCTGGACCTCCCTGCCTAGCCCCAGACACCCCGCTGCCCCCGCGAGCCTCACTCGGGGGTGCTACAATGGTGACAGGGGCCAGTCAACCACCACCGTCGCTTTCCTTCCGCCGCAGAAGGGAAGAAATCACGGCCCCGCCCACTTGTGTGGCCATGTGACTTGCTTTGGCCAATGAAATGTGACCAGCTGGCTATGACCCGCCTCACTTCCGGGTGGAAGCTTTAAAAGCTTGTGCACGGCCCTGATTTCTTTTTCTTCTGCTACAGCAAGCTGCGAGGGGTCGGGCAGTGGCGAGTGAGAAGTAAGAGCTGTGATTTGTTCTTTGAAGTTTATTTATTTTGAGAGAGAGAGGGTGCGCACACGAGCACAGTGGGGGGAAAAGAACAGAGAGAGAGGGAGAGAGAATCCCAAGCAGGGTCCCTGGTGTCAGCACAGAGCCCGACGTGGGGCTCGATCTCACAACCGTGGGCTCACGACCTGAGCGGAAGTCAAGAGTCCCAGGCTTAACCAACTGAGCCACCCAGGTGGCCTGAGATCTCTGATGTTTTAAGCCCCTGAGATCCGGGGCTCACTTGTTACCGCAATAGAACTGAGCCTGCCCTGATTCCGAGGTGGCAGCGGACATCTGAGTCCCCTCCTGGGTTTCCTGATGGGGTTCTGCTGTGAACCCCAGGGTTGGACCTCTGGTAGGAAGTGAAGCACTCACCTCAGAAAGCAAAATTTAAGGGGGTGCCAAAGAACTCAAATAATCAAGATGAATACTGTTCTGGGGCGCCTGAGTGGCTCAGTCAGTTAAGTGTCTGACTTCCGTTCGGGTCTTGATCTTACCATTAATGGGTTCAGGCCCAGCCCGAGCCTCCCGAGCAGCCAGGCGGGGTGGGGGCAGCTGCCACAGGCGTNCCCCCCCCCCCCCCCCGCCCCGTAGGGCTCTGTGCTGACAGCTCAGACTCCGGAGTCTGCTGCGGATTCGTGTCTCCCTCTCTCCGCCCCTCCCCTGCTCACGCTTTGTCTCACTCTGTCTCTCAAAAATAAATGAATGTGAAAAAAAATTAAACAAACAAAAATAACCCCACCCATGAGGTTTTGCTTGAGGGCTTTCTATGGCCCCTGAGGATGCAGGTCCGGACTGGGAGGGAACTGACACCCTGGGAATAAACTTCCTCAGTTTTGGTGGGTCAGTACCCCAGCTCCCTCACCCCTCATGTGGGATAGTGGAGGTGCATGTCCCCTGAGGGTGGAGTGGGGCTGAGCCCCCTGGTGCCCGCAGCAGTAATGTACACATTCCAAGTCTCTGTATTTGCTGCCTGCCCCTCACTGTCTCACTTCCCAGCTTCTCCACGCATGCTTTCTAGGACCCCCTTCTAATAAACACCTGCACTCAAATCCTTGCCTCAGGCTCTGCAACTGAGGGAGGCCAACCCAGGGCACATGTCTGTTACAGTTTTTTTCAACATGGCCAACGCCGTAGCTCCTGAATCGCCTCCTGACCCCTGGCCACACCTGCTACCTTAGTGATCTATTATTGCTGGGTAACACATTACTCCAAATGTGGGGCTTAAAATAACAGCAAACTATTTCTGTGGGGCAGGAATGGGGTCTAGCTTCTCTGGGTTCTTTGCTTCGGGGTCCCTCACACGCTGCCAACCGAAACCTTCCCAAGGGAGAAGTCTCAGTCTTTTGTAACCTAATCTTGAAAGTGACAGCCCATCATCTCTGTCCTATTCTACTGTTAGAAGTGAGTCACAAGGTCCTGCCTACACTCAAGGGGAGGGGAGCACCAAGGGCGCAGACACCCGCAGACAGGGATCACGGGAGCCATCTTGGAGGGTGTCCCTTCTTCGCGTGTGTCTCCACCACCAGCTCAGCTGGTCAGGCCACAGATGGGGGCACCGTCCTAAGCTCCTCCCATTCTGTCCTCCTGCCCACAAGGCCCTCTGCCCTGGCTCCGGATGGTCCCTCTGATCTCACCTCCTTCCCTCCCCCTGGGCTGGCCATGGTTTCCTTCTTCCTATTCCTGGAAGCTCCGTCGTACCACAGGGCCCTTGCATCTCTTGTGCCCTCTGCCTGGACTTCTCCGCCCTCAGACATTGGCGTGGCTTCGCCTCCAGGGTCTCTCACCGGACTGCCATCCAGGTGTCAGCTAGGGCTGTGGTCTCATCTGAAGGCTCCGGCAGGTAAGGATCCACTTCCTTCTGGCCTTAGTTTCCACATGAAACCCTTAAAGATGCATTCACGGTTCACTGTAACGGCTCTGCTCACCAGTTACCTCTGTGGGTTTGGGGTGCTCGAATCCTGTATGTTCTCTGTACATAGGACCTTAGCCGGACCAGATAGTCCATGCTCACAATATGATCTACGGTGAGGGCCTCGGGCCACCATGAAGCATCAGCTTGACCTCCACAGGGACTGGAGCCTGCGGCCAGCCAGACGGGTGGTCAGCCTGCCTGTGTGACCAGCCCCCAGAAAACCCCCAGACCCCCAGGTGAGTTTCCCTGGTTGTCAGCCCTCTGCATGTGCCGTCACACCCTGCTGCCGAGAGAACGGGAGGCTGTCCCCCGTTCCCGAGTGGGAACCTCTCGAGAGGAGGTGACCCCTCGGGGAGGGGACACCTGGGATCTCGTGCCTGGTCTGTCCTGGGTCCTGCCCTATAGGTACCTTGATCCTCTGTTGATTTTAACTGCGTCCTTTCCCTATAGTAACTTGTGACCGGAGCACTGCTTTTCTGATTTCCGAGAATCCTAGGGAATCGTTCACCCCGAGGGTGGCCCTGGGGACCCCTGGCTCAAGGCCTCAAGCCCCAAGCCATCAGGATCTTTATGCCCTTGTCACTATGTGCTTGCTTGTTTGGTATTTCCTGCCTCTCTCCTCTGGGCTGGAGGGCTCCAGAAGGCCAGGACCTTGTCTGTCACTCTCATGAGAGGCTGAAGAGCAGGGCAGTCAGGGGTCTGGTCCTGGTGAGGCTACTCTCTGGCCGTGTGGCCCTGGGTAGCCAATATCCCCCTCCGCGCTCCGCTCTCTTTGTCTGTAAAGAGAGAACAGAAGGACTCATTCCTCCTTGGGAGACGGCGGGGCAGGATTTATTAACGCCCACCAAGGTCTTGATAAGTAAGAGCTTCTACACACTGTCACTCGGCGTCCCCAGTAGCTAGAGCGAGGTCAGGCAGGCCAGTGCTCATAAAGAGGAAGTGAATTAGGGAGGCCTTTCCGAAGCCTCTGACATAGGGAGGCACAAGGGGACCGGCGCGGCCCAGATGGCGGGGAGGAGGAGGGGCTCAGAGGATGGGACAGGTGCCAGGGAGGGTCACACGCCCACCCCGTAGCTCTGGCCACACACGCGCCGTGCCAGGGGACTGCCTGGGGAGCCGGGCCTACTGTGGCCACCAGGGAGGGGCCGGTGGGGGGGGCGGGCTGGGTAGAGAGGGAGAGGGTGGGAAAACCCAAATCCCTGGGTTGCGGCTCCTAGGAGGAAATGTGTGGGCGGTCTGGGGGGATCAGGGCGGCTAGAGCTGGGGCCAAGGACAGGCGCCGGCTGGGTCCCAAAGAACGTCTGTGCTGGGCGGCTGCTGGGTCTGGCTTGGCTCGGAGGAGGGCTCCTTGCAGCTGGACACCCCCTGGTCCCCCAGGAGGAATGCACCCCCCCCGCACCCCTTGCCTCTAGACTCTTCCACATAAGGCTTTTGGGGGGTGCTCGCGCCATATGAGTTCAGAACAAAGGAATCAGAAGCACACGGAGTGGATTCCCCAGGGAGGAAAAGTTCTGGAAACGAAGACTGAAAGGAAGAGCCAGAGGGGTACTGGGCCCTGACTCGGGAGGCAGGGGGAGGGGGCATCTGGCTGGGAGCAGCCTCGCCCCATGTGGTACGCACCCCTGCTGAGATCTCAAGTCAGAGCCAGGCCTCCGCCACCATGGGGGCCAGACGTGTGGCCTGGGCACCTCCCTCTCCCTCCGTTTCTTTCCTTAGGGGCCCAGACCCTCAGCTCAAGACCCTCGGAGTTACCCATGTCTCTGCCTCTGTCCCCCTCTCTCTCCCTCTCTCCTGCACCAGCAAACCCTGAGGGCTCTGCTTTTTTTTTTAAATTATTTTAATTTTTTTTTTTTTAATTTCTAGGAGAGAGAGAGAGAGACAGTGTGAGCAGGGGAGGGTCAGAGAGAGNTAGGAGAGAGAGAGAGGCAGCGTGAGCAGGGGAGGATCAGAGAGAGAGGGAGACACAGAATTGGAAACAGGCTCCAGGCTCCGAGCTGGCAGTCAGCACAGAGCCCGACACGGGGCTCGAACCCACAAACCGCGAGATCATGACCTAAGCGAAAGTCGGACGCCCAACCGACTAAGCCACCCAGGCGCCCCTCTGCTTTTTTTTTTTTTAAGTTTATCTTTATTTATTTTGAGAGAGAGAGAGACAGAGAGAGAGAGCACGCTGGGGAGGGGCAGAGAGAGGGAGACAGAACCCCAAGTCGGCTTTGCGCTGTGAGCACAGAGCCCAAAACGGGGCTTGAACTCACAAACGCGAGATCATGACCTGAGCTGAAGTCAGGAGTCGGATGCTCAACCCAATGAGCCACCCAGGCGCCCCCGAGGGCTGTACTTTCAAAATCTAGCCAGAATCCACCTGCATTTCACTGCCTGCAGGCCGGGCCTGGATCAGCCCCATCATCTCCCACTCTGATCTGTGCAGTCCCCTCGGCCGCCCCTGGTCTTCCCAGTTCCCCCTTCAGCCCCACAGCCATTCCCCCAGCAGTGGCCAGAGGGCGCCCTGGAACACCTGAGTGGGGTCCCATCCCTTCTCCGGTCAGGAATCCTCTGTGGCTCCCATCTCATTCAGAGTAAGAGTTAAAGTCCTCCTCCTGACCCGAAAGGCTCCCCTCCTCCCGCGCACTCTCCTCCTCACTATTCCTCTAGCCCACTTCCTCGCCGTTCCCGGCATGCTCGCACCCCAGGGCCTTTGCACTTACAGTTCCCTCCACCCCTAGATCTCCACATGGCTCTCTCCTCGCTTCCTTCAGGTCTTCACACAGACATCACCTCCGCAGAGAGCCTCCCCTGACCCCCAACTGAAAACTGCACTCTCCCTCTTCCTACTTCATTCTTCATAACATATCACCATCTGACACCGCGGATTTGACTTCTTGATCGTGCTCCCTGTCTTTCTTTCCAGGGGAATGCCAGTTCCATGAGGGTGGGGCCTGCTATCCGTTTTGTTCCTGGCCGTGTCCCCAGTGTGCAGAAAAGGTCCAAAGGCACCTGTTGATTTGATCAACCAACATGGTGACAATCCCATCTGCAGACTGTCGGAGCAACTTTTTTTTTGGTGATGTTTATTTACTTTAGAGAGAGACAGAGCGTGAGCAGGGGAGGGTCAGAGAGAGAGGGAGACACAGAATCCGAAGCAGGCTCCAGGCTCTGAGCTGTCAGCACAGAGCCTACCGCGGGGCTCAAACCCATGAACCGTGAGATCATGACCTGAGTCAAAGTCTGACGCTTAACTGAGCCCCCCAGGCGCCCCTCCTTAGCCTATGATTTGCCCACTGTATGCATGCAGTTCAACGATAGTACATTTCGCTGAGTTTTACAACCATAGTCACAAACCAGCTTCTGAGAACAGTTCTGAACCCCCAGACTCCCCTTGTCCCCCTTGCAATCTGTCTCCACTCTCCTCCCTGCCTCTCGTCTGCTTTCTCTCCCTATGGCTTTGCCTTTTCTAGAAATTTCACACAAACAGGATCCTACAGTTTGTAGTATTTTGTGTCTGGCGTTTTGTCTGCAGTCTGTTTCTGAGGCTCATGTTGCCGCAATGATCAAAAGGCTGTTCTTTCTCACTGATGAGTGATATCCCATTAGATGGAGGGACCAGACTTCGTTTCTCCATTCGTCTGTTGATGGACATTCATGTCGTTCCCACCTTTTGGCTGTCGTGAAAAAAGATGCTGTGTACACATAAGCTTTCATTTCTGCATCAAGAGGTCAATGGGTGTTTAGCTTTATAAGACACTGTCAGATTGATCCGTATCTGCCGTCCAGATACACTGTTTGCTGAAGTTCAAATCCTTTGCCAGTGTTCAGACTGGGACTCCGTCTTTTTTTTCTTTAGTGCAAGCAGGGGAGGGACAGAGAGAGAGGAAGAGAGGATCCCAGCAGGCTCCGAGCTGCCAGCACAGAGCAATGCAGGCCTTGAACCCAGGAACTGTGAGATCATGACCTGAGCCAAAACCAGGAGTCAGACACGTGACTGACTGAGCCACCCAGGTGCCCCAGGACCCTGGTGTTCTTACTGAGTTTTTAATGTTTTTATTTATTTGAGAGAGAGAGAGAGACAGTGTGAGCAAGGGAGTGTCAGAGAGAGGGGAAGACACAGAATCTGAAACAGGCTCGAGGCTCTGAGCTGTCAGCACAGAGCCCGGCGCGGGGCTCGAACCCATGAACCGTGAGATCATGACCTGAGCCGAAGTCGGTCGCTTAACTGACCTAGCCACCCAGGCGCCCTGAGAATTTATTTTTGTATACTGACCTTGTGTCCAGCAACCTTGCTAAATTCGCTTAATCCCATTAGTTCATCAGTAGATTTCATATCTGCCAGTTACTGTGTCACTCACAAATGGTGCAGATTTATTTATTATGTTTCGATCTTTACACATTTTCTTGTCTTTTCTTTCTTTGTTGCCCTGCCTGGGAAGCTCTAGTGTGATGTTGAAAGAAGTGGTGACAATGGCTGTTCTTTTCTTGTCCTGAACTCCAGGGGAAATCTTCGCTGTTTCACAACCAAGCTTCGTATGTACTGTGGCTCTTCTCTCCTTTCTTTCTTTTTTCCTTTTATTTTCTTTCTCTCTTTCCTTCCTTCCTTCCTTTCGCTCTCTCCTTCATTCCTTTCTCTTTCTTTCCTTCCTTCCTGCCTTCCTTTTTTTCTTTCTTTCCTTTTCTTTCTCTCTTTCCTTCCTTCTTTTCTTCTTTCTTTCTTTCCTTCTTCTTTCTTTTTCTTTCCTTTCTTCCTGCCTTCCTTCTTTTCTTTCTTTCCTTCTTTCCTTCCTTTCTTCCTTCATCTCTCTCTTTTCCTTCTTTCTCTCTTCTTTTTTTGTAGGTGACATACCAAAGTTTACAGGCTCATTTCTATTTCTACCTTGACTAGAGTCTTAAACACAAATGAACACTGAATCTTACTACTGGCTTTGAGAACTCTCATATGCTCTGGATACGAGCCCCTCATCAGATGTACGATCTGCACACATTTCCCCCTAAGGCTGCGGGTTTTCTTTTCACTGTCCTTGCGCCTTCTGAAAAGCACGAATTTTCATTTTGACGAAGTCCAACTGATGAACGTTTTGTTTCACGGATCATGCTTTTGGGATAGAGCGGAGGGGTCTTTGCCCAAGCCAAGGTCGCAGGGATTTCTTTGTACGTTTCTCTCCCAGAAGTTTTATCGCTTTGGGTTTCACATCAGGGTCTACAGTCTGTTTAGAGGTACTTTTTGTGTGGGACGTGAAGCAGGACTCAAGTCACTGTTCTTTTCTCTTCTTGCAAGTGTCTGTCTTATTATTGGTGGGCGGGGGGGGGGGCTGTTTCTGTTTCTCGAAGAGTTAACGTTGGCTCCCAGCCTGTGTGTCTCCCAGCAGGACCGGGCAGGGCTGCAGGAGAGAGAGCCACAGAGGCTGCCCAAACAGGATGTTACCCAACTCTCTCAGGGCTGAAAGCCAATCTCTAGGGCCCTTATCAACACGTCCATCGCCAGCTCTGAACCCAGCCGGACCCCAGGGCCTCCCACTCCACCCCTCCCCCGTCCAGCACCTTGGGGCTTGCGCAGGGGCCTTGATACCCAAACAGGGGATGCTGTTAGTGGGGCCAACGGCCCCTGTGCCTTCCTGGAGGGGGCAGCGCCTGTCTCCTCGGCCTTCCCCTCCCCGGTCGGCGTCTGGGTGACCCAGCTTCCTTCCTTCCCCAAACCTCAGGCTAGGCTGTGCCTCCCTGTGCCCCCAGCCACACCTGTTCCCACCAACATGACGAGGGCAGAAAGCAAACATGCCCAGAAGCCCTGGCCCAGGGTGTCCTGGATCCGGGTGCTGTGGGGGGTTCCGTGCCTCGCGGGGAGGGAGCCCCCAGTGGTCTGTCCTCCTAACCGCTTGCCTCGCCTGTGCCTCTCCCCATGGGTCCTGGTTAAGGCAACACACCAAACCTACCGAGACGTGGGCAGGGCAGCAGCAGGCAGACCTGCAGAGGCTGTGGGGATAGAGACCCAGCCTTCGGTGAAAGACTAGCTCACAGAGAGGACACATCCAGTCGTTGACACATAAAATCTCTCTGTGTGTGTATATCAGGGCTACCTGGTTTCTCTGACCATCATTCTTCCTGTGAGCACCTGAGTCCTGTCCCTCCTCTGCTCAGAATCCTCCCTGACTCCCCCCCGCCCCCCCACTTACTCAGGGCAAAATCCCGAATCCTCTCGAAGCCCATAAGGTCCTGTATGATTTGCCCTGTGGCCTCCCTGCCTCACCTCTCACTGTCCCCTTCCCTCCCCTCCCTCCAGCCACACAGGCCTCCTCACTGTTCCCCAAACCCACACTGCAGGCGCCTGCCTCAGGGTCTTCGCGTGGGCTGTTCCCTCCGCCTGGAACACCCTTTCCCAGAGATCTCCACTCCTTCTGCCTCAAGTCTTTGCTAAGACACCACCTCCTATTAAAGTCTCAGCTCCTTTCCCTTCCTTTTTCTGCTCTAATTTTCCACGCAGCACACATCGCCTCGGGATATCGCTGTGATTCACGCATTTACCTGGAGTGTCAGCCCCACGAGGGCAGGGCTTTTCTGCCTTGGTCACTGCTGTATCCCCAGCACCCAGACCGGGGCCAGGACCACAGCAGGTGACCCATAAACGCTCGTGGAATCAACGGTCTCCTCTTCCGCCAGCCTGGTGGGGCGGACCCCCCCCCCCCAACCAGGAGTGGTCAATGTCAAAGGCCTGGCCAGTGAACGCAGTCCATCCTTTCTGGCCACAGTGATCGGTTTCTGAGTGACATGTGACCCCCGTCTGTCCAATGAGAGGGAGCCACCGGATTTTTGCGAGCCCTCTTGGCCAAGTGGCTTTGCCTCTTCCCTGGAGTTTTTGGGCCAATAAAATAGAAACTAGGGATTGCTGAAGCCATTTTATCACCATAGGAAGTCGTTGCCTGAAAAGCTCCCCAGAGGAAAGGTTAATTGACGGAGGAGATTACTTCCCCTGAGAGCCTGGATTCAGCTATGCCTGAAGCCAACATTCCTTAGACTTGGCAGTTACATGAACACATAAATTCTTTTTTTCTTAAGCCAGTTTGGGTTTGGTTTTTTACTGGCACCTGAAATAGTCCTGACCAATTCTTTCCTTCCTTCCTAACTTCCTCTCTCCTTCCACCCCTTTCTCACGCGTCTCTCTCTGTCTCTTCTCCCTCCCTGTCTTCCTGTCTCATCCCTCCTCCTTCCTACACTCCCTTTCCCCACCCCCACCCCCCTTCTGTCTCTGATTTAATTTTTATTCCGTCCTGGCCTCAACCCACCCCCACAACACAGGTGAGTCAAAAGTCTTCAACTTTCCTCCAAACGGCCCTCCTGTGCAGCTCCTTCCCTTTGCCCCCCACCCCCCACCCCGGGCTACTCCTTCCCCATCCGGAGCCAGGACTCTGCCAAATGGGGCTGTGAATCCCAGCTCCCCCTCCGGAAGGCTGTGTGCCCTTGGTAAGTGCCTTCACCTCTTCCGTGAAACAGCGGCATAACCGCCTGACCACTGTTCCCAGGTCGGCCCTCTCTCTAGCCTCCTCTGACCGACCCGGCCTCGGAGACTCCCTTGCCCGCTCTGGCCCAGCTCCCTGGTGCTTGAGCTTTTCTCAGAATCCCCTGATTCTATCCCGTGACCTGCAGAAAGTCCTGGTGCATCTAGGGCCACCCCAGTCAGCGGCCAGCACTCTGAGATCATGCCCATTTTACAGATGAGGAAACTGAGTCCCAGGGCACCTAGCTAGGATATAAACAATGCAGTTTCTCAGAGGGATAAAAACATGATCAGCTGGAGAATTTCCAGGAAGGAAAGGGTTGCTGGGGAAGCAGAATAGTCTGGGAGGGCTCCCTGGAGGAGATAACCATTTAGAACCAGACCTTCCCAGACACATCACTGTCAGCAGGATAATAAGCCAGGCAGGCGGGAACTGCAAGGGCAAAGGGCCCGAGGTGGGAACCAGCTCAGGGGTCAAGAGGAAAGCATGGGTGTGGTCAGGCCCTAATAT